CTAGGGTAGTCAAGTCAACTTAAAGAAGGATTTTCTCTTTTGAATACCTGCTTAAAAACATGATGTCTACGCACACAAACGTACATGCACAGAGACATCCTCTTATATCATCCCTCTTCTGTGCACTGACATTACTTTCTCCTCCATCTGTCCTCCATGTCTGACCCATTTATTGTCCTTGCACCAGTCCCCTTTATGCTCTCTTGCTTACAAATATATCCATTGTAAGTTATAAGACATCATTTTTTTCTTTTTTTTTCCAGCTTACATATTCAGTATGTGTATCAAACCCAGCATATATTAGAACCAACCAAAAACAAAGTCCTCGGTAGAGTGAAGGGATTTTTATATCAGCAGTTGGCTTGGCTTGTTTTAAATGTCAGCGCAGTTAAACTTTTATTGAAAGTGATATTTTACACACTGCTCGTAGGAGACAGCCTGGGTGCACTCTGACATTTTGATACTATAATTTTTTGCAAAAAACCCCAAACCAAACTTAGAATACATTAACCAGGCTAAAACGTGGCGGATATTTAATGCAAAGTGATGCAGGAGGAGCTGAAACACACTTATTTTTCCTTTCCCCACTACCAAAGTATTTGAAATGATTAAAGTCAGTTACCTTGATTTGCTTTGCGTCAGCCATAACTTGAAGAAGTGAGAATCCACCACCAGCAGCACGAGTCTTAAAATCGCCTCACTTTCTGCTCGCATTACAGAGACATATGGCTTATTTTCCTGCTGTACCGGCTGGTTTGAAGGTGTTTCTGTACGATAGCCCGACCGTTTCACAGCGAGAATCAACGGTCATCCAGCTGTCTGCTCCGCTTCTTGCTTATCTTTGATGTGCCCATCATTTTAAATCTGCCCATCAGGTTCTGTCAATCACCATCCCTCAAAACCAGGCTGCCAACACGACACAGCTTGAAGGTACCGCTGCAGCGTCTCTTGTTCTTTTATTAGCCACGAAAGCTTTCTGCCTCCATCCTTTTTCATCTGCAGGTTTTCATGCTTGGAAATTCATGCATATTATCATTTATCATCCTGTAGTAGAACACAACATATTTTGATCACGCTGTAGTTTAAATGAACGTTTCATATTCACGTTAACAAACTCTGCACATCTTCAAATACAGTACATCTAATCCTCCAGTAAGGAGCTGCTGTGTTATCGACCCACAGAATTGTGTGTATTTACAGTATAATCATCGATATAATCATGGAGGTGCCCGGTAATGTGTGTTTTATTATTGCAGCAGTAAACTCATTTGGTGTTCATTATGTTCATAGGACAGAGAGATGCGCACTTAGGTGTGTGCAGTGATTTAATGGAAACATTTAAACGCACACAGACACACACCATGCAGAGTCATTCCCAGGATCCTCACAAACAGTTAATGTACACTTTCTGTAGCTCCATATATAATAACAGGTTTAAATCAAATTGCCAAGCAGATGGCAAAGAAAGAAGACCCACAATTCATTGTTTTTTTTTTAATGAAAGGTATTTCTATCCATTTGCTGAATGTCCCTAAGAAACTCATGAGAGTTTGAAGGCTCTCGCTGCTCTCAGTGCTAACTTCTTAAACACTCAAAACATTTACAGGGGGTGCTAAATCAAGCGTAGTTGGAATGAGATTGCCAATTACCTTGAAGGCACGAAGAGCAGTAGAGTAAGAATTAAAACAAATCCCACAGAAACACTGGGCGACCTTCTCTGGGAGACCACTGAGAGACGGCTCGGTTTGGCTGCTATGTTTTATATGCTTTATTTTTCTTATGTTGACATTTTTATTCCATTATAAATACATTTCTTAAAACAACCTCAATTCTCTGGGATTGCTGGCTTTGTCTCCTTTGTTTTTTTTCTGCTGTGATGTATTTGACCTTCTGGGCTGTTTAGATATGTCATGCTAAATAGCTTCTGAGTGCGCTTTCTTTTTTTTGTTTTGTTTTTTGGGGGTTTGTTTTAGGTGAGGAGGGGGGCATTATACAACCGGGAGAAATATACAGAGCACGCAGCTGCTTTGTTGTGACATATACGCATGCAGAGAAGCATCAGGGACGTATGGGTTTCTGGATGAGTACACAGAACAACTATCGAGTGAACCAGAAGGATCTGATGCACCCACATCTCGTTTCTCCCCCATAACTGAATTAACGTCTGCTCACTTGTGAATCCTTTGAACAGCTGAGAATTTGTGTGGGTAGGCAGTCTAACAGAGGCTAATGAGTTTAACAGCTCGCTCATGTGCTGTATAAGCGTCCACTCACTCGTAGCCCATCTATCACTGTGATTTTTCAGTGGATATTTCCGTCTCCTCGGGACAGTGATTGAACGCCACACAACACCCTTGGTCTGATTTATACTTGAATTCAGACTGCATCTCCCTCTCCTCTCCTCTCCTCCTCGAGTGCCTGCCTCACAATCTTCCCATTGCAGCGTTAGAGATGACAAGTTTTCTTTTCAGTTTGTCACCACCCACAGCACGCGCACACATGCATTAAAAGCGTGACACACTAAACACTCACCGCCACCTGTATGTCACAGCTGTGTCAACTTTATTTTATCGTGCTCATGCTTTTCCTTTTTACCCCTGGTGCTCCAGGTTCATGAATTAAGCGCATCTCTACCCACCCTCTGCCTAGCTGCTGTTGGATTTATGGAGCACATGATGAGCATTGAGTGCCTGCAGAGGTGGGTGAACAATCTACTTCACTCCTCGAGCTCACCCAGCTGTAGCACATAGCAATACCAGTTTCCTTGTAGTTGATTGCTGTCGTGCAAGGATTAAGGAATTACAGTGTACCGTGTAGTCACCCTAACAGCTAACATCCACATACACTTGGAAGAATAGCTTGTTCCATGTTTGTTTTTTGCTTCTTTTTGGGGGGGAACCTGTCTATAACATTTTGGGATATTGAGATTATTTAAAATATATATATATTGTCTATACTGTTGCATTTAGTATGACTTTACTGCCTTTTTAAAATGGTAATTATTGAATCTATTCATTTTATTCCTGCTAATATTGCATCCCTCTGTCAAACAATTGCTTTTTCCTAACAGACACCAGATTTTCCAGGGGTGGCAGTATTCATAACAGTATTCAAGACAAGGCTACACATTTTTCAGTAAGCGCTTTCCTGCTGATTTTATTATTTGCAATTAAGTGATTGCAATTATTTGCAGAAGGCTTCTTGTTGTTGTGTGCTCAAAGAAAAGGTATTCAGAGTGCAGAAATTCTCTATAAGGTGAGACACTGTCAGGGCTGTTATACAGCCTTTTGTTCGCTGACAGTTGTTGAACATATTGACCAAAACATCTTGACATTGTTTGTCTTTCAGAGAAATAAAATGGAGCTTCATTTCCTTTGTGTTTGTTCCCTCACTTTTCACTCCTGCCTTGATCGATGCCTCACAGAAGAGGAGGCACTGATCACCTATTTGTGTGCCAGTGGGTGGGTGGGTTAGAGAGAGCGTGCGTTTTGTGTTTTTTGTTTTTTTTTTTGTCCTATGTGATTTCTCTCATGCTCTTGGCAACACAGGAAATCACAGCCTTGACATTTTGCTGTATTGTTACCCGCATACTTGACAAAGGTGGTACACAGCCAAGTCAAATTCCAGTGGAAGCGTAGCCGACAGCGCTCTTTGTCACATACCCACCAGAAAAATGAAAGTAGAATCCTGTTCTTACAGAAATCCGTCACATGGGTACTTAATAACAAAAACCAGGCTGGATTTAGATTTTTTCTAATAGCGAGTTACAAAAGTCATTTGTTTTGGCCAGATCGCTGGTCTTTGCTGACCCTGGATGAAGGTTTCAATGACAAAGATAAATATCAGTCCATTTCTGTAATGGCTCCATCATTTGCACAGCATCGTTTGTCTTTGGGCAAATGCTCCGGTGCCAGAGTTCAAATTAGAATTTGTTCATTAATCGTGTTCACGGAGGACAAAAATGGTACGTTTGTTCTGCCTGCTAGAGAATGTGTAGAGAAAGGTAAACCCACAGGGAAAAGATACACCTATTAATGGGCTAATGAGATGGATGGATGGATGGATGGATGGATGGATGGATGGATGGATGGATGAAGTACATTGGTCTAAATATTGGCCATGTATTGGCCATACAAAGCTCTAAATTCGATGTTGGCTGCCTTTTGTTCCTCTGTCAGTATGATCCCACACTGCTTCTGGGGAGGCCAATCCATCACTGATAGTGTTACATTTTGTGTGTTTCTGTCCAGGTATGCTTTTACTGCATTGGCAGTGCGTTTAGGATCATTCTCATGCCGAAAAGTGAAGCTACTTCTAATCAGATGCTTTCCAGATGGTCAAAATGTGAAAGTACTTCTCTCCCTTCATACATGACAAGATTCCCAACACCACTGGCTGAAATTCAGCCCCAATCCATGACTCCTGCGTGTTTCACAGATGGCTGTAGACATTCACTGTTCTACCAACAGTTTCAAATTTGGACTCATCTCTCTATAAAGACCTGTTGCCTCTGATTTTCATTCCATACCTCAGACTCATCTCCCTCTTTCCCTTCTTTAAAAATGACTACTTGACAGCCACCCTTCCACTGAGACCGTTTCTGATGAGGCTTTAGCAAACAACAGATGGATCTACTCACGGGCCACCATTTCTCCAGTTTTTAAGGACACACTACCCATGCAGACATATGCAGTGTTTTCAGCTAATAGCTCTTTAGGGATCAACTTATTGGCTAATAAAATACTATTTTATCCCTGTCAAACTTTAGTATCTTTAGCATCTTTTCAGCAATTTGAAGAAATGGGAACAAATTTTGTGATTAAATGATTCATGGCTCAGTCTTAAGTGGCTTTACAAACAAAACAACAGTCTGCTGAAAATGGACTGGATTGAAAATGAGTGAAAAAGCAGCTAAAGTCCAAAGAAAAACTCTAAGGACCTTCAGAAAGCCTGGAGAGATATTGCTCAAGACCACTTTTAATAAAAATCTGACTCCTAGGAAGGAAAATGCCAAAAATATGGGGGTAGCTCAAGACTTTTGCACAGTATTCTATGTAATACAAATATTTTTTTCTTTTTGATGCTTAAACTGTATTTGACTTATCCGTGCTTGCTAATACATCTTACATCACTGACTGCTGCAGGGCTCATAACATTTCCACTATGGGAAGATAAGGCACAATGTGCCAATCGTTATTTTTCTGCACCTCCACTAACAGGTGCACTATGCCGTTCTCATTTTAACTACTGCAGTCGACCCCATTAAGCCCTAAACAAACTGAAACGGGCAACAGCTCCTGGTGGTTTGAGGAGGAAATATTGGTTTTCTGATAAAGGCCTCTTGAGTTCCTGCGTTAATTGGCCGTCAGAGCACAGAATTATCTTAATCCCTGAGTAAATGATTCATTACCCCACAGATGAGAGACTAAAAAAATGCACTGGGCCACGAAAAAAGATGCACAAGTGACAGCCTTGAAAATAAAATGTGTTTATCTCGCTCCCTGCAGGGAAAGTCAGGTTTTATTGATGCGGGGCAGCTGAATCATATTTCCTGCATGATTAATTTTTTTCCCCCCCGTGCCTTTCTCTTGTTATTGCTTAGTATTAATCTGCTTGATACTGAGCATTAGTTGTGGTTTTCTTTACATCGTGCATTTGTTTCACGTCTCCCTCGTTGTCTTTTACCATATTTGGCCTCTCAAAGGCTGCCACAGAGAACTCTATCTACACTGCCATCTCTGCTAGCATGCATACTTGTTGTGAAATCACAATAGTTACAGTTTTTCACCAACAGCTTTATTCATTTTCACCACTTTATTGTAACCCCCAAATGTTTTATGCAGCTTTTTTGGATTTTGCGCTCTTCTATATAAACAACAAAATACTTACTGTACTACTAATATTCATATAAAATACAGTATACACACTGTAATGCTCTAATAGCAACCGAGTGTCAGTGGCCACCATCTTTCTGACCACAAGCAGTCATTTGCTACATCTAGTGGGCGCTACATGCCACTACATGGTGATCTATTTCCTATTCTAAAATATACATTAACATCCATACAGTTACAGGTGAGCCATACACAGCACTCTAGCAGATCAAACAGAGTCAGTGCTGTAGCTACAGCATTAAACAAACACATCTCACTGCTGTTCTTACTGTATATGTCAGACTCCTGTATTTTAAAGATCCAGGGCATTTAGGCCAAATTCAGAGAGCAGCTCCTTGTACTTTTGATGAAGAGTTGCGCTTTCGTCTTCCCAACCCTGTCGAGTCGCAGACAGCTGGGAACTCAGGCTGTCGAGAGTCTCCTGCAGAAAACATGGGCAGCATTAAAATGCAAGCTAAGATTTTCCCTTCAAGTCACCGACTTGTCCAACCTGATTTCCCTCCCTTCTTAACCACCTTTATCGCTGATGAGTTGTAAGGGTGCACTGAAGGAGGTTTAATTAGATTCTGTGTCATACTTGGGAAGAGAGGAATAATGTTAATTACATATTAAAATCCTATCTCTGCGATCAGAGGCTGAGCCCTCGAACAGGGCTCTAAGCTTGACCACTTACCTTTGAAGATCTGAGCGCTGAAAATTTGCATGCAGTGTCTGTAGCCAGCCAGTCGGACTCGGGCGCTAGCGAAAAGGTCAACAATGACCCCATCCCTCATCCATTACATCTTAATGGAAAAAACTCCCAGGAAGTGGAGTTTTTTTTTCTTCATATTTGTCTCACTTAAATGTTTTGGGTCATAAAACAAACTCTAATATTAGATGGAGATAACCCAAACAAAAAGCTGAGTTCAGTTTCACCTACCACACCCAGTTTAAATTGCTGACATAGCTATTGAATCAAGTAACAAGAACCTGTCTGACAAAATGTAGCAGGCTAAAAGGCAACACATCATGCCACGATTGACAGAAAACAAATGAGAAACAAAGTGATTGACATCTATCAGTCTAGAAAGGGTTACAAATCCATTATAAGGCTTTAGGACTTTATGGAAAAAAACTTTATCGAGAAAACTTGGAACAGGGTTGTACCTTCCCAGGAGTGGCAGGCCTACCAAAAAAAGCACTTTGATGACTCATCCAGGAGGTCACAGAAGAACCCAGAACAACATCGAAAAAACCGCAGGCCTCACTTGCCTCAGTTATGGTCAGAATTCGTGATTCAACAATAAAAACAGATTGGGCAAAAATGGCATCCATGGGTGAGTTCAAGAAGAAAAACCACTGCTGAAAAAGGAGGCGCTCATATCACATTTGCCAAGCGACATCTTGATGAACCCCAAGGGCTTTTTGAACATTTTCTGTGGATTGACGAGACAAAAGCTGAACTTTTTGGAGGTTCCCTATTACATCTGGCATAAAACTAACACAGCATTTCATAAAAAGAACATCATATCAACAATCAAACTTGGTTTTGTGGTGTGATGGTTTTGGGCAGCTTTGCAGCTTCAGGACCGCATACTACTCATACTTATAAACCCTCCAATATAGATGAATGAAAATAATTCTGCGAAGAAGAGTGTCTCAAATGGCATATAAATGTCACAAATATGCAAAAAAATAAGAAATCAGGAAGAGGGCGAATACTTTTCTACAGTACTATTTGTGGCTTCTTTTTTACAGCAGTTTCTCGGTCATGTTGATTGCATAATTTCTGGTGTTGTGTGCATTGATAGTTCCGTAAAGCTGCAAAGTTTGTAATGGCGTAGTAAGTTTTCTGAACTAAGCACCATATTTCAGGCCTGCTTATAGAAGAAAATTACTCACTTTGCATCAGAAGTTAGTGAGGACATTCTCTGCCTGTGCAGCTACACTTGAAAAAAAAACCAAACTACTCTAATGGTCATAAAAGGACATCTTTATTGATACATACTAAGGTGTCAAAACTTGAGGATACAGGGGAAGTCGGCAAATGTCATTTTATGGGGGAAGAATTAAACCACATCTATACTGTACACTCCATCTAGTTTTTTAGTATTTCTGACCTACGATTATTAGACATAAACTGCAACAGTTTTCATCAGCATCATCATAATATCATATGAATCATTTTTAAGTCACTTAACTCATATAAACATCCATGACAGCTCTATTAGCGTTTGCTTAGTTTGTCATTTTAGACTGAATTATCAGCTCAAAGCAATCATACATTCAGGAGCTTGACTTTCAAGAAACTGGTGTCATCACACTGCTCTTTCAAGAGTCACACATAAGCTGCAGGTCTGACCAACAAGTAGAAGTGCTAGTACCTTCCCATGACTTTGGCGGAACTAACTCTGAGATCAAGTTCTCTGAGGGTTGGCCTAACTGCACATACAAGACAAAGCTGCCCCACATTGTGCAAAAGGTTACCTCAAATGGGTATTTTCGTATACGTGCAGGCTTTCAAATGCATATTGTTGCCACAGTGTGTGCTTGAACTGCCTTGTGTTGAAACTCACATGAAGGATCTTCTCATAGTCTGACTCCATGTTGTCCAGCTTTTGTCGAAGGTCTGCTATGATGGCATCCTTCTCCTGCTCCACTTGCTTACGCTCACTTTTCTCTATACTCAGTTCCTCCTGGGATAGGGCTATACAAATACAGAGAGTAAACTCTTATCTGGATCCATTTGTTTGATTATACTTTAAATATAGATAGACCATACCAAGGTCTTCCTTCAGTTGGCTGACTTCCTGTTCCAGTTTCTTCACCTTGTTGGTCAGTTCGGTCTGCATGGTTTTGTACTGGCGACTGAGGTCTAGAATGACATTTGCGTCAGCTATTTCAGACTTCATTGCTGATTCACTTTGAAAAGCTAATACAGCAATCAGCTTAAGCGCCCGGCTAATTAGATTTTTTGTTCCTCAAAAATTACCCTAACCTCGGCAAACACACCCCTTGTCCTCACTCCCAAAGGGATCCGCACTTTGATCAGGTTATTAAAAGACGGACTAATTTTGGATTCGTGCCCCGTCTGTACCCACCCCAGTAGATGTCCCTGTGGTCTTGTCTCTCGCGCTGCAGCTTCTGTTCCATGTCTCTTACACGTCTCCTCAGGTCAGCTCTGTCTGACTGGACCCTTCTTAAAGCCTCACACTGTAAGGCTGCAGGAAGTCACACAAACACATGCAGGCATTGAACGTACAAACCAGAGGGAGCTTTCTTTGTTTTTTGTTTTCATAAGCAAAAGTGGAAATTACTTTCTTATCAAAACTTGTATTGATGCAAACTAAATTATCCATTAAACATGCCCAAATATGCAGTCAAGTTTTAACATGTGGGCTTTCATTTCCACTTGTATTGCTTTTAGACGTTTTAAAACATGGTTTTTTTTGGGTTTTTTTTACAATTTTCTATCCTTTTATGGGCCAAAAGACTGATCTTTTAATAACTCACTTAAAATCTATATACAAAATCTATATAGGGGACATCAGCAATTTAAAAGGGAACAGACATGACAAGGAATGGATCTGCTAAGAGTCGTTTTCAGTTTGACCCTTTATGTAATAATCATACAATCTGTTTTTATTATTTATAAAGGAATAAAAGGCTCACCTATGTGATCCTGCAGAATGGCTATATCCAGAATACTGTGCCTATGCTTTTCTTCCACGTCATTTTGACCTGTAACAACACAGAAATATGTGTAAGAAATAGAAGATCTGCAGTCACGAAAGAAAAAAAAGCATCTCGATTACATTTTTCTGGACTTTTCTCTGCGGTCTTTTTTGTCTTCTTCTTCGGGGACATGCTTGCTTAAGGCTGCCTGTTCAACCCACGGACACGCACAGGCTCACAGAGGGCCTACGCTTACTGTATGGTGGTGAGACTCTGTTGCTGTGCACTGGTTGCTGAGTGAGCAGCCATAAAACAAAGTGTCCGGTTTAATTGATAGTTGAGTGACTTTTACAACAGCCAGTCACACATGACTGGGGAACGCGCACAGCGCCAGCTGCCTTCAGTATATGTGAAAGCGTCTTTTGTTGCTAGGGGTTACCGAGGCCCGAGCCGGGAGAACTCAGAGATGCACTCAGCAGCATCTCACTGAGATTTTATGAATGCTCTACAGGAAGACGCGCGTGCTCGGTTACATTCATTTATCGAGAACGCGCTTTAAAAAGAAGGCGGGGAGTTTAGGGTTTGGGCAGCGGGGAGAGAGACGAGAGGGTGGGGGTTAACGGAAGAGGACGTACAGGAAAGGAAAGGGCCGCACATACACGTCAGAGGGGGGAAACAGAAAATGCTGGGCAATGTTTAAATCCCATAATTATTTATTCACCCTAGTTCCCGTCTATGACCGTGAGGCTTTCGCAGCTTTAAGTTCAACTTCCTCTCCTCGGTCGTCGCTGAGCGCTTTGTGTCGTCAGCCTCGCAGCCCGCAAACGAGTGCTGACAGTGTCACACAGCCTCTGAACTTCCCCTGAAGACACGGCACAGCCGAAAAGAGCTGCTGCTGACAAAAGAGAGGAACGACATCGCGGCTTGGACGGAGGCGAGGACACGCTCGAGTCCTGCGAAGAAACCGTTGCCATTGTCCTCCAGCTGAGGGCGAGAGGAGCCAGGTCTGGTGCTCCGTTAATTAGCCTGCGTGGGTCCCTGCAGAGAGAGAGAGGGAGACGCTGAGCAACGCAGCCTGCTAGCTGCGGCACAGAGGGGGACTTGTGCAGGGTGTGAGTGACCGTTGGGCTTGTTTTATCCACAATCTGGACATTTATCTACCAAATAATCATGTTATATTTACTGATGGGAGCCTTTATCCAATAGTCATCTCTTCCTCCCTCATTTTACCCCCGTCGGACCCTGGCTCGGATTCGCCGCTCGGGCGCTGTCCTCACAGGGGGTACGGAATCACCATCGCCCGGTCCAACCAACTCCAGGCGGCGGTTCGGTCCCCCTGACCCCCTGCCCTGCCTCACCTCGCCTGTCTGCCGCTGTGGCCGACCCTAGCCGAGCCCGAACATGGCTGGGAACCTGAAGAAAGGCGGGGGGATCATCGGAATGATGAAGGATGCCTTCCAGCCACACCATCACCACCTCCACTCCCATCACCAGCCCGGGGCCGTGGACAAAAAGACGGTGGAGAAATGCTGGAAACTAATGGACAAGGTTTGTCAACGTTAAGCCGTTAGCGTTTGCTTACGCGTCGGATGGCTAGAGCGACTGCTAGCTAACCGTAGCTAACTTGCGATAAGCTAGCTAATCTTCGCCTGCTGAAGGTCTGTTGTTGCTAAGTTAGCTAACAGGCTGGTACAGGATATGGTTAGCTAACTTTAGCTCACAGATAACCTGAACTCTTGTTTTGTTCGTCATGTGGCACGCCACTTTCGTAGCAGCTTAATATTAACTGGCATAGGAAGGCTTAGTTTATTACTTGGCAGGGTTGTTAACACTTTCGGGTAACTACTCTTTAGTTGTGAAACCGCGGTGCATAGCGTTACATTGTTTGACCACGGCTAAATATTTTAAGGTATATCACAATCTTTAGCTCTAACAGGGAGGTTAGTATTCTTTAAATATGTCACATAAGAGCTGAATCTAACGACTTTGTGACAGGAAATTGAAATACAAGGGCTACCAGCACTGCAACGGTGTCTCCTGTAGCTCGTTTATGAAAAATCTATAGTCAGCTGTCTGTCAACCCTTGAAAATTGTAACAAATTTTTTAGAGAACAAGAAAAGTACGCATTTTACGTGTCCAGCTATGGTCTTTACCAGGGGAGAGTCATCTCACTGCTTTACTTCTCGGAAAAAAGCCTGCAACAGTTTGACCCCCAGTTTCCTGTGAGATTCACACACGGCTTTTTTGTTTCTCAACTTCCAACGCGACACATTATAAACTATGCCTTTGCAAAACTACTAGCACATTTAAGTGTGTTTTGCTTAGTCGAGCCTCAATTAGCACAGACAAGAACACAAGTGGCAATGAAACGTTGATCTTTATTATCACCTTGTTTTCTGTGAATGTTCAACACTTCTGTAGAAAGCTTGTCTAATGCAGACCGAAGAAGAGGGAGGCTGCTGATCTGATCTGCCACACATTAAACTACCTGCCACCTATCAGTCTGGCTCTTGCAGTTTACAGAAGGGATTATTTTGCCATGTTAATATGGTTGTTTTTTTTTAGAAACTGATTGACTGGAAGAAAAACAGCCAGATAAAGGAATATCTTACCTTTAAAAAAAAAAAAAGAAGCTATACCTCACGTGCCAAAGTGATTTTACTCCATGGGACTGCGTAAAATAGCAGCAGAAGTATATTTAGTATTATCTAAAGTGAACCCACAAACCAACAGATACCACTGACCAAGACCTGCAGAACTATAACGCAGTTTCTCCTTGAAAACACCTCCCACGTAGAACTAAGTTAAATTTTGATCCTCTGTTACTTGCTGTACCTGTTCTTCAAGATCTGCATCTGTTGCAGTGGCTAATGTTTATCTGTTGTCACATCAATTTTGTGCTGCCTGAATGCTCAGTGATAGTGCGACGAAGAGCTCAAATCACTTTATTTTTTCATGATGAAGATATGGTTGTTTTTTGTTTTGTTTTTTTCTCTGGCGGATAAAGAAAATGATTGTCAATTTATTTATAGGCAAATTGCTAATCAGGCCGTGGTTTTACAGTTGGGGCATGTGTCAATGTGTAAAGTCAGTATTCTTAATTTAGCTTTCCTGTATTAACTATAAGTTAAAGTGCTACAGCATTAAATGTTTATTTTAAAACAAGTTTAACATCAGATCCTGTTCTTGTCTCTGTTGTTGCACTGCCACATCCTTTTGGCTAATTAGGTAAAGTAATACTCTAAACTAAAATCAGAAGTATTAGCTACGGAAATGCGTTTAGTAAGATTTTAAGTTTTGGCCGATATCAAGCCCTGAATTTCACATCATAATCTAAGACAGTCATTTATTTTATTTTAATCAGTTTTATGCGTACAAGACATTGTTCGCGGTGTGGAGGTGTATAGTTGAAAGGTACTTAACATTTACACAGCTCGTTCATCTTCTTCATTCTTTTTCATGCCTTTTTGGGACTAAACAAGTGCATCAAGACGATGATTGCTGCTTGGCCTACAACATGGATTGACTCTATTTAGTGTATAGACACTGATCATAATACCACATTACCTTCTCCTGCTGTGAGGAATCATTATTACTCTTTCAACATTGAAAACGTTTAGGGGACATTGTCTCACTAAAGTGTGAGAAAGCACTTAAAATGGCTGTTTGCAGCTAAAATCCCCCAAAATTCAACCAGCTCCAACTTGTCTTCAACCTGTAAAATACCTTGAAGTTCATGTGGAAAAATCTACATAATCACACCAGGTGTAGAATCACCTGAGAGCGAGAGAGAGACAGAAAGATCAGTGGAATGTAATTTAGCTCGGAGGGGATCAGCATTTTACTTCAAGTCAGAAGCTTTAACACATGCTGACATAGAGCATTCAGCAGTTGTGACCTTGTACCAGCGCATGCATGAATTATGTTTGGCTGAGGGTTGGGTACAAGTGTTAGCACTAAGCGCTTGGAGGCCTGGAGAAGGTTAATGGAATTGGGACACATTGTTGGTAATATTGGCTCTTTTTTTTTTTTTTTTTTTTTTTTTTTTTTAAAGTTCTCCAACAGTCACAGCTCAGTTTGGTAGACTCAATCATTTTTATCAGCCAAATCATCAAGGTGTTTTTATTTTTACTTATTATGCATGAATATTTGTATAGTTTAATTTTTGAATCATGATAGTGGAATATGTTGCATGGTAAAACAATGTAGTCTATACAGCATAGATTCATATGCCTAAAAATAAAACTACATTAACAATTGTAATACACTTAAAAGTTTTTCCATTGATGATGATTAATAAACAAAGTGTTTGAGCTCTTTCAAGTCTCATTACTTCCACAATGCCACACTGATGCCTTTTAAATGGAGGAAGCAAGGAAGTTCATAACGACATTCTTGTAATGCTGTTCCTGCCATATCTCTTTCGTGCATTTTCACATGATCAGTGGACAATAATTTGGCCTGGTCTGCAAAGAATAAGCCACGTCCTGTTTTTGACATACAGTTGTTCAGTAACTGAAGCTGACAGCCTGGCTACACAGATGTATAAAAGCTCGGGCTGGAATCGGGACATGACACCCAAAATGTTTGGCTGTGTGTTTCGTAATGATTCATGAATTGACCCGGCGAAGTGCAACACTGCAGTTAGATTTGTTGCACATTTTTGAGGATGAAACATGTTAATGCGCTCTCCTGAATGTCTTCAACGTTGTCATAAACTTGGTTCCCCAAGTATGACCACAGTCATGGTTAACATGTTTTATAAACCCATGTGACAGATGATTATCACGTTCACGGTTCGGTTGAGTCGGCGTTCGTAGATAGACACTCGTGTTTGTCAAAAAAAATTTGGCTTTTGTTTGCATTTGTGTTCTCGAAGTTGCTCACTTGAGGTTTTTCAAATTTGCAAGGCAATCATGTCCAAATGTTAAGTAGAGAGAATTTGAGTCTGTAAGGCAGAAGTAGCATAGGATGTGCAAATTAAAATGGGGAAGTGTAAACTCATTAACAGCTTCTGTAAACATGCTCAAGAAGTGGAACATAGAGGGACTACATGCTTAAAACATGCTAGTCAAAAGGGGATGGGAAGGGTGCAGGAATTCTTGTTTACAAAATGTAATATCTTAAAAAGGAGAGCTACTGTAGGGTTAGGACTATGCTCTACACCAGCTAAATCTCTTTTTCTTAAAGTTGAATCACGATGCACAATATGTATGCATTTTCTACTTAATGTTCAGTCAGAAGTCAAAGCCACATGTGACACATCACAGGCCCTTTTAGCATATTTTGAAGCAGCAGGTGCAGAACGCTATTGCTTCATAAAAGTTTAAATCTGCTGGTTAGCTCTTTGCACTCTCTCACTGAACCTGCATAATTGTATGGGTTTTATTCTGGTTGGTGCAATTTTATCTCACAGTTCAAAGACACAAAGGTTAAGTTGGCTGATGATTATAAATTGGCTTTAGTTTTGGATTAAATGGTGGAAACTGCTGTCTCTCGTTGAGTTAGACATGTT